CGCAAACAAACCTCCAAACCAAAACAAAAGATAATTTTGTTCTTCATTTCATTTCAAAGACGTATTAGAGAAGCCCCACAGGATGCTGAATATTCCCTCTTGCAGCAAGTCTAAGAGATTGGGGTCTAATAGAACATTTTGGATGCTTTGACGTGTCTCAAAGAGTGGGTTTCAACAAAAATTTTAAGGTAGACTACCTAACTGCAACTGGAGAGATTGATCAGGGGAAAAAATGGAAAAATTACATATTATTTATGAGTCTGGTTTTAACATAAGTACCCTGGTGATAGGGTTGTTCCACCCTCAGAATGTAAAAGGTTTCAGTATATTCCAAAGAGCAGATGGATGACAAATATATCTCTGCAGGAAAAGGAAATATTTCCTTAAACATCCTGCTGCAAACGTGACTGACTGAGTTTCCCCTTCCCTCTTCTTAGTGCATTTCCCTTCCTTGCACAGACAGGATCTAACCAGATTTGCAGGGTATGAACTGTAGGTTACATTCAAATTCATAATGATGAAATGGTTCATTTAGCAGGACAAAGGCCAAACTGGCAGACACCCTTTCTGCAGCCCAGCATTAATGGGAGGGTGGCAAGGAGCTTTTGTTAATCCCAACAGAACTGGCGAGAATGCCACAAAATGAAGTCTTTGAAGATGTTGCCTTCATTTTTAAAACAACAACTGTACCAAACAAGAGGGAGAATCTTGGAAAAAGTTAATAGATCTCCCTGAGAAGGCTATCACCTGGGCAAGGTTCCTACTAGACATTTCCTATTAGAATGTACAATTCCTATTAGAGGAAACTCCAATTAAAATGTACAATTTGGTGGAACGTTAATTTTTTTTTCATAGGGTTATGTGGGTGGCATTTGAGAAAATGTTCCTTTTCCAGCAGTCCCATTTTGTACAAGCCATAAGGACATCATGTCACACTGGGCCTGATTTAAAACCCACTGAAGTCAATGAGCGTCTTTCCACTGAACGTGGACTGGCAGTGATTAAAATGTAATTTTGCCCATGGTTAGCAGTCTACATGATGATCACTTCATTTCCCAATACGTTTTTGTCATAAAACCTACCAACACTACTGGCACTCTGATCTGCAGCCCCAGGAGGGAGTCTAAGTGCTGACTAGTCTGTAGATAGCAAACGAGCCAGTTCCCAGTAGAAGTGATCCATCCGTCCCAGCCACAAATGGGCAGCACAAAAGAATCTTGCTTGGAAAGTGTGTATGCCAATGATTCTCAACCTTTTTTGGACTCAAGGCACCCCCACTGGACTTGAGGCACCCCTACATACCTTTTGTCTATTGAGTGGCACCCAATTTCAAGAACTAATGTATATCTTACTGTGCTCACTTTCTTGCAGAGGGGCCAAGCAGTAGGGATGGAGCATCTCCTTACATATCCCCACACCCTTCAAAGGGTTGGGCATCACCCTGGTTAAAAATCACTATGTCACCCGTCTCCTTTACTTGAGGTCAAACAAGTCAAAACTACTAAGTCTGATTTCTTCCTTCTGTATCCCCAGTAAAAACCAAGTGACTTAGCTTTAAAGTATGGAAGTCGGAGGTATTTAATCTGTGGCACATTCAAGCCCAAATGTCATTTTGATGAAAGCAGGTTTTTCTTAACATCTTTCCTTATTTCTGCTACACTTGTTTAATTTATTTTTTACCCAGGGTTCTGTCCCGAATCCAACCTCAGTGATGTCACTGTTTATATCCTCCCAGGTTATTTTTATGAAGTATGATGAGAGAGAAGACTACGGAAGGATGAGATTAAGGATAAATAAACTTTTGAGAAAAAATGGGTCAGATTTTCTATTTGTGTGAAAGGGCACAGCTCTAGTGACTTCGGTGGAGCTTTGGCCAACTTTGGCAGAGAACACATTATAAGCAGGATGATACTATTTTTACTGATAGATACATAAGGAGGAAACACTGTCTGGATACAGTAACTTTTCAGTTTGCTTTCCAGCTGATCCAATCTTACATGGATGTAAAGGTATCCATCAAGCAGTTCAAACTGTAAATACCAGCTCAATTTAAAAAATGTCCCCTGGCTAAAGCTCAAATCTTGACATGTTTGTTTAGTTCCCAATCTGGCAAATACTTTCACATGTGTATAATTTTATCTCCATTGACTAATGGAGACAAAACACACAAGTAAAGTTACATACAGATGTGTTTGTAGAAGAGTAGCTTTATTTGTTACCTGGGCAAAATTCTGTTAATTCAATGGGCTGAGTCTAAGAAAAAACTAAATAAAGATTGCAGGATTTTGTCTAATATCTGTTGACTGCTTTCCTTATTTCCAGTGGCTAGGTTAGTTTGAGTGACAGTGCAGTGTAGGGGGATAATTGTAGAAACAGAAGGTGGTAGATGTATCCTTATTGATTTTTATGTAGTCAGCTTGGAGGTTAATTTGTCTCATATCCTTGCCTGAAGAAATATATGACTGACACAAATAAGGTACCAAACAAGTTACAAGCCAACTTTGGTAGATTTCTTTAAAAATGTATACATTTAAATTCATTTACAGTTTATAAGATTACATTTAAAAAAAAAGTTGCAATGATGAAATACAGAATATTTCATTCTTGTACCAAAACTACACATTAGATCACAAGAACAGCATGGTAGCTCTTATTTAAGACATTGATGGGTTAAGAACCGCAGCTCTTTACAGAAGAAAGTTCTACAGAGATGGGGTGTGCTGAATTATTAGATAAACTGGTAGCCTGCAGCCAAGAATGCATTTAACTTCATGCATGAGAGCAGTAACCTCACTTCCTCACTGAGATGAACCATTTGCTTAATATTAACCACAGCCACAATAAATACCTGGATCACAAACCAAGTGCCTCAGGTCTCTCGTCTCCTTATGTATTGGTACCACCACTTTTTGATGCTTATAAGCAAAGCAAAACCAGTATCGATAAAACGCTATTGCAGAACTACAGATCCAGTCAAGTCACAAGCCCCAGCGGTATGAGCAGATATTCAGAGCTGATGTACAAGCATATAGGTTAGGGGAGCAACACGTTAATATGTGTCCGTGACATGGCAGTCAAATTTAGCCGTATGGTGTAAGGGAGACTCTTGTGTTCTGAACAGTATGTTATCTTGGGGGGTGGAGGCAGAAGCAGTTTTTCCATGATGTGGGCTTCATGGTGGTTAGTAGGAGTCCTGTGTTGGTATAAGTTACAGGTGAGAGATCTCCTATACCTTGTTTTCCTGTTCCTAGGATTTGTATGAGGAAGTGTCACTTGCTCCCTAATCTAGTTCAACCTCAGTTTGTCTACTGTACATATAAAAGCAAGACATGTATGTTGAACACATGATGCACTGACATTTACAACATATCAAGGTTAAAAAACACAAAGTTAAAGTTGTCCAGAGCAAAATTAAGTCATCTTCCCTCCCCTATGTACAGTATGATAAGGTTCTGGTGGCATGACTTTGGGAACTCGTGGACTACTCTGTGTAAAGTGTCAGCTAAGTCACTGGGCTAAGATCTTTGAGCATTTTAAAATCTTTCTGTACTTTTTCCATGTAAAGGAAAGTGAGTTCTGGTGAGTTTAACTGCGATTGCACAGCCCCATGTTATAATTTTGCATGTGGTTGACTAAGTGTATAAAATTTGACATTGAGAACCAGACAGGTTCAGTAAATAAGCCACCAAAACCTCTCAGTCTTTTAAAATGTGATTACAAAAAGAGCCCATTAGGTCCAACCATGTATATTCTGAATAGCATGTCCCGAATACCTTCCGTTTCCAACAGTGCATGCACAACATGTCCCAGGACACACAAATGTCGTGTGCTGTACACCGGATGTCAAGAGACCTCCTGAGTCAGTGAATCTGTTCCATTGCTGCCGCAGGACACCTGATGCGATTTCACATTCAAGTAAACAGAACAGAAGCGGATTAAGGAGGAAAGAAGGGTCGCCTGAGCGAAGGAAGAAAGGACTGAGCAGTTTTATGTTCAGCTGTAACCATTTTGTGTGGCGTGAATGCTTTAATGATGCCACCCTGCCCTGCCTTTCCCCCACCAAGGATTAATTCGACAGGCAGTTAAAATCCCGAAGCCCAGCTTCAACATGATTCTTCTTTCCCCAGATGTCTTCAGTCAGAGCCGGGCAGAGAGGACTCATTTAAAGCAGGAATGAAGACCAAAGCTAGTGGAAAGTTTTAGAAAGAATCTATATTTTGGTTACTCAAGCTCAAAAAATAAACTCAAAACATTCTTAAATAGTGGACAAGTTAGGGAGGATAAATAAATAAGAGCCGTTTCAGCCCCAAGCAGTCTGCTTTGAAGAGGATCTGACATGAGGGACAGTCGCCCGGACCGGAGGGCCGCGGGGCCGGTGCGCTGGGAGCCCCGCCGCGCCCCTGCGCCTCGGGTGCGGGCCGGGGAGAGCG